CCATGCCAGAGCTCCCTGTCGGCCATCACCACCCCCAGCTCCTTCAAGGTCAATCCAGTCACTTCAAGGATACCATCCATCCATCTTGCCGTTAGTTGGTCCCTCTTCCCTTTTCCTTCCATTTTCCCCAGCATCATTGTCTTCTCTAAGCTTTCCTTTCTTCTCATGATGTGGCCAAAGTACTTCATCTTTGCCTCTACTATCCTTCCCTCCAATGTGCAGTCGGGCTTTATTTCCTGAAGTATGGACTGGTTGGATCTTCCGGCAGTCCAAGACATTTTCAGAACTTTCCTCCAACATATGGGAATAGGAAAACCTTTTTGCTGATTATCACCTATCTTCAAGGCATCAATGTTAGAAGTAATCCAAGATTTCAAGGGCTATCAAGCACTACTCTTTAAAGTAGCAATGGATTAATGGCGATATGGTCACACAAATTGAGCATATTATTAGAACTCAGTTCCAATATTTTATTTCATTATGTGCCCTTTAAGATGGTCAATGCTAAATATTAAACACAAGTCTGATGGTCACTACTGGGAAACTCCGTCACTACTGCAAATGGGACTTCAACTAACCTTCCAAATATTACACCTCTTGCATCTTTGGCAGCTGCTAATATGTCTGCACATGCTTCACTCCATGCATCATAAAATGGTAATGATAGAACTGGCTCTTTAAAATCCCTCAAATTATTTCTGATGGTGAAGCCCTCCTTCTGTCTGTGATCACTACCAGTATAACTTCTTAGCTAAAGCTATAGAGGACAAATATTTTATCCTCAAATTTACGTTTCCTTAGAACTGGGTAACGAAAAAAAATCTGCAGAATTTAAAGTCACCCCTCCTGCATTGAAAATATTCAATAGAAAGTAAGCTTGAAACTTTTTGGCCATTAGCCAATATGGAAGAGTACAGTTATACATGAAAAAACATGAATCCTGCACCTGATCATCCTTGCTTTCCACTGTCTCTTGGCTCCCACCATTACCAAAGCACTTCTAGCCACATGAGCAAATGAAGAGAAATCATGTAACAGAAGAACTAGCATCAGCCTTGCTTTGCAGTTCACATCAGAATAGATTTCTCATGGTTCAAGAAAATTCAAGGAGGATATATTTTCAATAGAGCAGTACAGAAAGGTGAATAAATGTGTTCAGTTAATCAATTTATTGCAGAAGCTTTCTCTAGCGAGGATGGCAAAGATGGAAGAGGGCAGCACAACAGACAAGCTTCAGGACTATGTCAACAGCATGGATTTTTCTCTGGAGCTTATCTAGTACACCATCATATTTCTAGTCCAAGACAGTTTGCTGATTACGTAAGTGGTTGTCTGTGGCATACCGTCAGATAATCGGATATGCCTTTCTGTGTAGACAAAGAGAACTATAAAGCTTACCATTTATAAGGAGAGGAGCAGAAATGAAGCCTTTAACAAACATTTAGAAAAACCAAAGCTACTGGAGATGTATGAATGCAGAAGAGGTCACTATTAATTGCTGCTGAGACAAAAGCTTATAATAAGGGATGGTGAGGGATATGAAAAACATGTCCAGAAGGATAGAGCATACCCAAGGGCTATATTGCTTCCTACCAATACTATCAGCCATACAATTTTTTAATTTCTGTCAGCATTTTTCACAAGATACTTTCATGCCTTTAAAAAATGAACTGAATGAACAGCTTGGGTAAGCACAGTTTCTTCTTTCATAGTAATATGCAGTGCCTCTAATAGGCATACCTATTTAAATTCTTATGTCCATTTCAGATTTACTTCTTTTGATTTGGAAATGAAATTAATTGTGAGAATCCCAACAACAAAGATATTTTAAAAGAGATATTTTCTTACTACTGTAACTATACAGTAGAATCACTACATAAGATGTCCCAACGTAAGTATGTTTTAACTTACAAATCCTCACTTGGCCTAGAGTTACGTTTTGACATCCAAATACGAACAATGCAAAAGTGGCCTCTTTGCCCCCTAAACCAGTTCTAACAGCAAGGCAGGGAGAAACATAACATGGACTGGATTCCTAGCTAGAGCAGCTCTGGCTCTTCTTTCAAGGCAGAAACTCTAGCTCCATGTGATTGCTTCCCCTGAATATTCTGGGAGGAGTCCAATCTGGAGATTCCACTGCAGTGTCATGTTCAGCAGTTGATGGCCAGGGTTGTTGTTATGATTTTATGTGATTTGTTTTATACTTTTCTATCGTTTTTACCTGTTGTATGATATATGTGCACCCTGGAGTGCCTTGTAAGCCGCCCGAGTACCTTCGGGGAGATGGTGGCAGGATATAAATAAAGATTATTATTATTATTATTATTATTATTATTATTATTATTATTATTGATGATTATGATGATGGCTAGTACACAGAAGGCTTGGCAGGATCCTGGCCAGTAGGGTGGTGATGCTGCAGAATATATGGAAGGGGTTACTCTTCCTCCTAGTTCTAAAGAGCAGTGTAATCTGGATGTAAGAACTTACAGGTGGCAGTGATAAGGGCAAGGGCCTGCAGAGACAGGATGCAGAAGGGATCAGATGCATAAAAAACCGAGCAGAGACTGTTCTTTGGAGATAAAAGTATCTGTTATATTTGGCTGTGGATGCTGGTGGTTTTTCTCCCCAGGTTGTGTGGATTGTTGGTATTCTGATCCATCTAGTGAACTCTTGGAATCTTGTACCTTGAAGAACCTTGAGCCCTGGTGAGCATCTTGTTGATGTACCTTGAATCTGGATTGACTCTTGACTACATTATTTTGGATTACCCTTGAGCTTTGGACTAGCTGGCTTGACCTTTGAAACTATGACTATGCTTTGGTCTCTTGAACTTTGGACATTAATCAGTAATCTCTTGGCATTTGACTCTCAGGCTGCAACCTTGACTGCAGTGTACTCTTTCTCCTGAACCTTGTTCTAAATCTTTGCTTTGTACCTGAGCTGTGTGCTATTTTATGTTTTGAACTTGGACTGTGAAACAGCCAAATGAGTAAGTGCTGCTTTAAGTAAATAGTTTTGACACAAGTCGGGGGTTTGTCTTGGTTAATCTCTGCCTGCATACTGGCAGATGCCTGGATTGTGACATCCAGAGACTGCAGTCCACCCTGGTGCAGCAGAGCCTCAGGGCCCTTCCACTCAGCCATATAACCCAGAATATCAAGGCAGATAATCCACAATATCTGCTTTGAACTGGATTATCTGAGTCCACACTGTCTTATAATCCAGTTCAATGTGGATTTTATGCAGCTGTGTGGAAAGGGCCTCAGCCTAAACAGCAGTACTGTATGTTTTGCTGCAAAAAGAGAGAAAGTGAGGGAAGGAGACTAGAATTCCAGTATGAAGAAAATGACACTGTTGTGTCTTGTTGTATACTGGTCAATACATTTTGTTGCCAAAATTGTGCTTCCTTGTTTCAGTGGCTGGATGGAACCAAGCACTGTCTATCTCGGAACATTTTATAGATTATTTGTTACTTGTAAAGTACATTTTCTTATTTAAAAACACATAACAAAAAATGGAGTGGTTTTTTGGGGGGCAGGACAAATTAATAGCATTTCAATGAGAAAATTCACTTTGAGATAATGTTTTGATTTAAGAACATGGTCAAGGAAGGAATTAAACTCTTAAGTCCCGGTATCACTGTACTAGTAGAACATTCACACTTTTTAAAAAAAAATTGGAACAGTACGGAACATGTGTCTTAAGTGAAGAATTCAAGATTCTTGGCAAATGGTTCATATCCAACACCATGAGTGAACCTGACTGGATCTTGCCCTTGCCATCCCCTCCCCTCCTCGTTCCATGTATATTATTCATTCTCTCCTATCCTTGTTTGAGTCAAACCATACTCTGTCCATTAATCATTATATATGAACCAAAGAGAATGTACAGAAGCCCAACCTCAAACACTATGTCAAACCACTGGTTTAGTCAAGTCACTAATAACAATAACAACAACAACAACAACAACAACAACAATAATAATAATAATAATAATAATAATAATAATAATAATAATTGTATACTAATGCTTTTATGTCCAGCTGCTATGAGTCCCCTTTGGGGAGTAAAGTGTACTAACAACAACAACATCTTCACTCTTCAGAATCAAAAACACTTCTTTTCTCTTCCATAGTTCTCTTCCATATTTTCTCTATCCATATGTTTTCTCAGACAAGATGGTCTAGAAGGGCCTCCCCTTGAAGTACCATGCATGTGCACTTTTTAAAAAATATTTTTTCTGAAGATTTCTTTAACTTACAGTTTGAAAAAAGGTTCAATGGGGAAAAGTGGGAAATAAGGTATTTTATTAGTGCTCACCAACTCTATCTTTTGTTGCAAATCTGAGTGGCCTCATTGCTAAGGTTGAGGACTTTGGAAGTTATCTTGAATTTGGACAGGATAAATCCAAACTCTAGCAACAGACAGTGAGAGCACATCGATATATGGAAATTTCACATTTAACAATGTGCAAATTCTTTACAGCAGAACTGACATGTTTTCCATAAGAAAATGTCTAAGACAGGAAAGCAATGAGGAACTGGAAGTAATATATTGAGCAATTGGATGGTGTTTTGGCTATGGCTGTGCAAGAGACAAGTCCCCATCCTGCTGAAAATTAGAACCCCCAACTAGACTCTCTAATTTCTATGTTTTTACTAAAAAATAAAAAGCAAAAAACAAACAATGTTCTTCAGGCAAATTAAATGTGGTGGAGCAGCTACTATTTCTCCCAATGAATCAAGGCCTGGTACCATATTTGTGCCACATTATTATGCTCACATAGTTTCTTGGTAATTCATAACAAACTGACAGCTGAACTATTATGGATTGTCATCTGTACCATAAGTACCATTGTTCTAGTGTACTAATTAAAGTAAATACCAGGCTTTTAACACCGATTATGAAAAACTAGAGGGGAGTGTCCTAATTGCAGTTAGTCCAGAAGAAGTCAAACTACACAAAACATTCAACTGCAGGAACATTAAGTGTTTTACCTCTGTGCAGAAGGGTGTGAGCTGTGAGTGGACCACCGGTTGAACATACATGTGGAAGGTGGATTCAATCTCCATTGTCCTGCCATTTAACTTCAGGATGGGGAACTCAATGATCTCCTACAATAAGAAAATAAGGTATTAACCCATCTTTTTAAAAAAAATGTAAAGAAATTGAATGACAAGCTGCAATTACATAGACAAACAGTGCTAGAGAAGGTGTGACACCATGTGAGAAACAGCATCAGTTAGAATGGAACCAAAGGCTTAGATTCTTGTGTGCCAGCTGCACCCGTACCTTTGGAAGGCTGACTTGGCCACGGTAGTCCACGCTTTGGTTATATCCCGCTTAGATTACTGCAACGTTCTCTACGTGGGGTTGCCTCTGAAGACTGCCCAGAAGCTGCAGCAAGTCCAACGCACGGCAGCCAGATTACTAACAGGTGCTGGGTACAGGGAGCACACCACTCCGCTGTTACACCAGCTCCACTGGCTGCCAATTAGCTTCCGAGCAAAATTCAAAGTGCTGGTGTTAACCTATAAAGCCCTAAACGACTCCGGCCCTGTTTACCTTTCCGAACATATTTTCCCTTACGAACCATCAATATTATTAAGATCATCTGGAGAAGCCCTGCTCTCGGTCCCACCGGCCATACAGGCGCGCCTGGTGGGGACGAGGGACACGACCTTCTCGGTGGTGGCCCCGCGACTCTGGAACTCTTTCCCACCGGAGGTCAGAACCGCCCCGTCTATCCTGACATTTAGGAAACGGGTGAAGATGTGGTTGTGGAGACAGGCTTTCGATGAATGAGACAATACCCTAGGATTTTGGATGGAAGATGATGTATATTTGATTTTAATATGACGACTGACCACCGTAGTTTTAAATATATTGTTATTTTAAATGAGTTACTGTAATTGTGAACTATGATATTTTACTGATTGTATGTGTTTTTATGGTTGGAAACCGGGCTGAGTCCCTCAATGAGGTGAGAAGGTCGGTATAGAAAACTTTGAAATAAATAAATAAATAATAAGATTCTAAGACTCAGAGTTCTGCTCAGATAATGTAGCCTTTCTGCTTCCTTCTGCCTACCACATCCCCAGCATCCCCTGAAAAACTTCTCAGGGGTCTCATTCAACACACTGAAAGGCAATGAAAGGGGGAAATCAGTCATGTATCCACCAGAAGGACAGATACCATGGGCACAAACCAAATTCCCCCTCCCTCCTGCGGGTTTATCCGCTTCTGAAATTGGCCCCTGTAAGTTAAAGGAAACCCTTGAACCATATGTGGGGGGCAAAGGACACAATAAATCAACCCTAATTTCTTCAACACTGGATGTTACCCTCAATGACAGAAATGACAAATATAGATTAAAAATACTCTTCCACCAGGACATATTTTCAGTGCTCTATAAAATCTCACTTTGAGTCTTATTTTTGTGTTGTTTTAATTTTAAAGTCATTCTAGTCTCAGAGGTAAAGTTGCAAATATTAATGGAGCATATAAAATAATTGAACAGAAAATGCAAATTAAAGTATTATTATTGCAAAATACTCAAATCAAATTTATTATAATTATATATTTATACAGCAACATTTATTACATGGGGTCTTAGAGAGAACCGCCTTGACAAGGCTCTTCCCCAGGAGGCTTACAGTCCAAGAACAGACAGATGGAAAACACAGGAAAATGTACACATTACATGTTGACAGGCAAATGTAGTTTCACTCACATGCCACAATGTTATGTTACAATATTGCACACTGAACCTCATATGAACATATCTAGAACTGAGAGTATTTTGGATTTCATTCTCAATTATTCTTGTATAGTCATTCAGGAAACCCATGAAACTCTACGGCAAAACTATATTGATGGAACCAAGGAGAATATTCCATTTTAAACTATTTGAATAATAAACAAAACAAAAATTTACATAGCCTTGTTAATTTTTTAAAAAGCTTAACCAAGCCCCTTTACAAAGGATCTGCCAATTATTAAAATATACACGTGGAATTTAAAAAAAACATCCAAGGAATAAAAACGATAAAGTCCTTTGTCTCTTTCCTCCCCACTCCACCCCCTCCTGAGTTTAATGTAAGAGAAGTGACAATTTGCTTGGTGTCTTTAAAGGATAATTTGTCTGTGTTATTTAATAGAGAAGCATGATGCTAAGGCTCTGGAGTGCAAATGAGCCTACTGAATGATAGCCAAGCATGGAGTCTCTCAAATCACTTGTGGAGAGAAAAAAGGATAAAAAAATTGCTCTTTAATATTCAAAAACAGTTTGCAAAATTTAATCAAAGCAGAGCAAAAGCTAACATTTTTACCACTTTGACATTTTTATTAGTACTTTCATAAATTTTTAAAAACATGAATAGAATTAGTTTAAAAACAACAAAAAATTGCCTGAAAACATCTGGAAGAGGAAAAATAAGCCAGAAGAAAGACAGAAACGTGTACGCCAAGCAATATTTGCATCTTAAGAATCCAATGCCTACTGCAGAGGGAAATAAATTAAACTTTTGGGCCACAACCATAGCACTGCTATCCAGCATATTGAGACCACAATTAGCTGTTTGAATATCTGGAGTGCATAGTACTGTATTACAAGAATATATATATCTTAGAAACTTGTAAATAGTCACTCATAAGATTATCTGGTGGACAGCAAGTTAATATAACATACGCAATGGGAAATACAGTGCTCCAACTTTGAAAACTATGTACAATAAATATCCACTATCATGGCAATGTTACCTTTGATTATCAGAATTTGAATGGGCTTAAATGGAAAAGAGATATATTTATCATAAAAATATAGACATATTTAAGTAACATGTAAGCATATGAACAGAACTCCTTCCCTACAATGTAAAGAAAACACCTTAATGTAGACCAGTGGTTCTCAACCTGTGGGTCCCCAGGTGTTTTGGCCTATAACTCCCAGAAATAGCAGCGAATTTACCAGCTGTAAGGATTTCTGGGGCCAAACGTCTGGGGACCCACAGGTTGAGAACCACTGGTGTAGGCCACTGTCAATACTTATTAATTATATTGAACAAACTGTCCAAATTTCATTTTAAAAAATTAGATTAAAATAGTTGAGTTACAGAGACTGGATACTTAACTGTCAACAAGAACTTAACTGATAATCTGGAGCTATTCTATTGATGATAATGGAGTTTAAATTTTACCATTCTTTGTCTCATTCCCCACATGGCCAAGAAAGGGAGCAGCCTCTACCTGCATTGCGAGCTCTCCATGCCAACTAAATTACTATAGAAACAACATATGTGATTTTAACATCATCTCTTTTCTTTCCCTGTATTGACTTTTTGCAATTTGCCTGATAAAGAAGCAGTGAAGCTTCAAAAGCTTGCATGGAGCATTTTGTGCATTTCAGTTGGTCAATAAAGTTATTTCTCTTTTCCATTTGGAGTGATTTTCACCATTTCCAACATTTTTACTAATAAATAATATATATATAAATAATAGCATGTATGCATACTGAAATGTAATGTGGAACACAGCAGCACAAATGCACAGCTTTATTTCTCTCTCTCTATATATATATATACACTGTATATTCTATTTAGCATTTATATAAAGGTTAGCACTACTAGAAAATGTAGGATTCAGTACATTTTTTTGAAAATGAAACCTTTAGGATTAGAAAACATTCATTCTAATAGATATTCTAATAGCATTAATTCATCAATGTCATTACTAATACTACCCCGTTATCTAAGTCCTATCTGTGGCTGAAAACATTTTAAAATAAAATAAAGGACACAATCACACTGGGAACAATTCATATCTTTAAAAACAACACAGAGAGAACCATTAAGCCAACAAAAATGGGGGGGGGGGGATCAACAGCATAAAAATAGCACTAAAACCCAGAAGAACAAACAACCATTTCCATCCCATCTTTGGCTATACAAGCCACAGTTGATGGAAGCAGCAATCTGATCAAACTGGAAGACAGCTAGTAGCCCTCCAGAATATATATTTTATTGGGCTTTACAAGAAGCTGGACAAATTTAAAAATCTACGTTGTACAGCATATATTTCACTAAATATTAATTTACCCTTACGTCAACTTCAGTATTGCCTCCAGCCTACAGAAAAAGAGGGTTGGGACTGAAAGACCAATGAAACTGTGGGCTTCACAGAATCTAACTGGAATTAGTATCCACACTTGGAACAACCTGTTCTAGTTTGCCTGGTTATCAAGCTTTAATGACATTATCTTGAAAGAAAATAAATGTAACTAATCAACTCTTTATGAGTATTTGTCAAAACTCTAGGACTTTATCATCCAAGTAAAACTAACATTATTAAAAGGCATGCACATTTTAATATTTTCTTTACCTTTATAAAACACACATATTACTCAGTAAGACCAATAACTCTTTGTTTGTTAAAGTATGGCAATGCAATAGCTAAACTTCAGTTCTAGCACACCTAAAAATAATGGGTCCTATTACAAGACAGTAGCTTCTGATAACCTCTCATTTGGGCTTTCAGACAATGAAGAAATACATTTTGTGAACAATAACAATAAGGGAAGAAATAAAATGAGAGTAGTGAAAGCAGAATTATAACAAGATGCTGTTGAGACTCCTGTTCACTTAAACCCCAGGCAGCATGGTTAACAATCAAGGGCGATCAAATTTGTGATCCAACATCCAGAGGAGTTCAGGCTCCTATGAATGAAGAGTTATCTTTGAACTGAAAACTCACAACAGACACTGTGTTGATGCTGTAGTTCAGGTAACATTCTCCAACAGGAAGAAGATATATCGGGTATATCTATCTCCTATCACAAAGCCTCTCCCCAACACTTCCTCACTACTCTCAAGTGTCACACGGCACTAATCACGCAACATTAATAGTGTGTTGGTTCTGTGGTTTTCCCGGAATTAGTTCTTTCTAAGACAACTCAAGAGGTATTTATAATTCTCTATAGTACTGCTGCTAAGCAGCTTTCCATGAGGACAGACAACCTCCATACATAAAAAAGTCTATCAGACAAACAAAACACATTGAGGCAGGCTATATTAAGACAGCTGGAAGAAATAAAATACCTAAATGACCACATTTGAAA